ACGAAAAAACAAAAAAAAAGGGATAGATTTAAAGAGAAAAATATTTCCCTGTGATAGCACAAAACATTGTAATTCCAGAGCAGAAATCCAGAGGCTCTATTCCCTCTGAACTGGAGGGCTCTGCCTCCTGCAGCATTTTCTGACTGATGCCACTGCTGCAGTCAGTGCCCAGGAGATCCCATGGCTTCTCTGCTCCCCTGCAAACACCCTCCCCCAGGAGGGGGCTGCAGAATCACACCCGAGTCCATCCTGAAGTGGTTTTGGTTTGCCAGCTCCAGGTTTCTTGGCCAAAGCAATGTGGTGGGTTGAGAGCTGACCAAACTCCAGTGCACCCATTAGAATTATTTACTCTAAGGCTCAAACAAAGGCAAGAACAGGCTCAAAACTTTAAAGGGTGTAAAGAAAGCTTTCCTAACAGAGCTAAAACAAAAATAAGAAGAAATCAGAATAAACCTTTGGAACACTTTTCCTCCCCCCAACTCATCTTTCTTTTTTCCACTGACAAGGTAAAGAGATAAAACCTGGTATTTTCCATCAGTTTACCACCTCTAACATGTAAAAACTTGTCAGTGCTGTTACCTGCCTGCCAGGAGTGTGACCTGGCCACACGTGGGGGCTTTGTGCAGAGCTGCTGGGGGCTCCCAGCCACTGCTGCTGGGGAGATATCCAACATGTTCAGAACTGCCTGGGCTTGTACCCCAGCACAGAAATAGCCCCACATGTTCAGAACTGCCTGGACTTGTACCCCAGCACAGAAATAGCCCCACATGTTCAGAACTGCCTGGGCTTGTACCCCAGCACAGAAATAGCCCCACATGTTCAGAATTGTACCCCAGCACAGAAATAGCCCCACATGTTCAGAATTGTACCCCAGCACAGAAGGCACATCCCTACAAGAAACTGCTGATAGAAGAGGCAGAGAGCAGGGGTAAGGGGATGTGTTGGTGGAGCAGAGACTCCCCACATCCCCAGCGCTGCTTGCTCCTCCCTTATCAATGAATTAATAAATTACCTTATTGATTAACCAACCCAATTGTGGTGAGCTATTCATAACTCCATGAAAGAGCTGATCTTTCCCAGGCCCAGATGAGATGGAAGGAGGGGATGTGTGTAATCATTGTCCATTTGAGTGCTGCATCCTTCACTTCCCAGATATAAACCAAGGAAAAACAGAGCACAAAGTCTCTCTAGGGCTGGCAGAAATATTGGTTAAAAAAAACTATTTCAATCTCATGGAAGGAAGGAATTGGAGATTTAACTCAACACACCACAGGTTTTTGAAATAGCAGCCCTGTCTGACCTCCAAGCCCAGCACCATCACAAATCAGTCTGGGCAGCAAAAAAATTTATTAACACCATTTGTCATAAGCAGATTTTACCAAGTGACAGGGGTTTGCTGGGTGGAAGTGGAGAAGAGTTGGGTTACACTCAGAAATAGCAGCACTTCTGTACAGTAAAACAATGCAAAACAATTCCAGAAATGCTCCTGAAATTCTGCTGGGGAAGGAGCAAAGGGTTACATTCCTCATCCCTTGACTGATGGAAATATTCTCAATGAGAATCCACATTTTCCAACAGAAAGGGGATATTGACAGAAAAGCAGGATGGCAGATGTCCCAGCTAACTGAGCTCCTGGCCAGCAGGACATTATCTGTGATCCTAAAACATCTATAGGAGCACAGGGAGCAATCCTGGGTGTCTGCCCACCAGCCAAAGGGCTGGATCACGACATAAACCTTCTGATCTGAAGAACCTGATTTTATTCTCATCTGTTCTGATACCATTATAGACACATTAAAAGTCGTCTCATCTTTTTAGTGCTGCAAAAAAGTGGTGTAAAGTAGGGTGGGGATAAATCAGGAGCAGTCCTGGAACATTTCTGCTCTTTTAAAAGGCATTTCCTGTAATCTTTATGCACAACAAGGGAGGATAAAAAGGATCTTGAGACGTCATTTACAGCACCAAAATCCAGGGGCAGCCTCACATTGCAGGTCATCAATGCCAGGCACTTTTATTACAGCAGTTCCTCAAAAAAGCACCACAGACACATCAAAAAAGGCTCAGAATGTTCATTTTGTAACATCACCAGGCTTTTCCAGACTTCCAAGAGCCTTCTCCCATCCCAAACAAAATTCTCAGATTTGCCAGGCTGCTCACCAGGAGGAGACCAAAGACTCCCAGGCACCAAGGGCACAGCAGGAGGAACCTCCCCAGGTTATTGAATAAATACTATTATTTAAGAAATGTGAATATACATTCCCTTCAGCTTGATGGGCACCAGCAACTCTCCAGCTACTCCTACAAAACCAGCAGGCAGCAGCAGCTTCAAGCTTCACTTCCAGCCCTTCCTGGGGCCCTGATTAAATACCTGTTTAGAAAGGGAGGAGTACCTGCTGAAACAAAGCAGCTGCAGCACCTGGGTTTTCCCCAGAGCTCTTCTGCCTCATGCAGCCAAATCCTGTTGGGCTTCTGTAATTTGGAAAATGCCTTTTGAACGGTTCCAGCTGCAGCAGCCTTGGGTTTGAGTGCTTTGTACATCACCTCCGTTTATTATCCTTCAGGCAACCATTCCCCTCGTTTTATTCCTTAATTTATTGCGTGTTTACCTGCTGGACCACACTGGGAACGTTGGTGCTTTTCCAATCAATTCTATCATGGAAGATATTGTCAGTGGGACTCTATTAACAAATCTCTCACACTGCAGCCCTGCTCCCAGCAGCGCTCAGGGTGTGACTGCCACGCTTTCCTCGGAGCAAATTAGGCAGGAGAGAGGCTCAGATGCTCTTGCATAATTTATCACCAGCAGGCAGGAAGAATGATGGGGCAAAGCAAAGGAGAAAATCAGCTCCTTAACTGTGTTTGAACACTT